AAAAGTAAATAAATATCATTATAATGAAAAAATATAGATAAAAAATATTTATATTATAAAATTCATAGATGCAGAAAAATAATATATGGACATAGTAAAAATTAATAAAATTTATATTTAAATTAAAATAATTTATATTTCTAAACTTTTATCTTAATAAAAAAATATGTGATAAAACTTAATATAAAAATTTAAACTCAATGCAATATATATATATATATATATATATATATATAATATGACAATAATAATAACTATTAAATTAAAAAATAACTATAAAATATTTAATTTTTATTTTAAATTAACAAATATATGTAAATTAACTATATTATAATAATAATATAATATAAAAAAATTATTGAGACAATATATTAAAATATACATTTATATATTATAAATAAATTGATAAATTAATTAATAATTTTTTTGTTTCTGTAAATATTTATTAATTATTAAATTTTGAACGTATATTTACCACTATACTTTTTCAAAAAATATCTATCTGCATTTATGTTAAATTTATTTAAAATAATTATTTAAAATTTTATATATTTATATTTAATTGTGTTATTTAATGACTGTGAACCTGATATTTAATTTTTTTTTTATAAATATCTTACTCAAAAATTTATATCAATAAAAATAAAATATGTAATAAGTTACAAAAAGTATATATTATTACATATAATTTATTTAAAATTATATTATTTATTTTATTTACTATATGATATTTTTATATATACATATGTATATATATATATATATATTATATTAAAATTTTTATTTTATTTTTCTATCATTTTTCTTATAAAATTTTAGTTTTGAATAAAATATAATTTATATTTATTATAAATAAAAAATTAAACATAATATATTAATATAATAATTAAATAATTAAATATTAACAATAATAAAAAAATAAAAAAATAAAAAATATATTAATATAATATTATTATTTTATTTTTAAATTTGATTTCTTTTAGTTTTCATTGCGTCTTGTTCCTATTTAAAGACTTAACTACTCTTTAATTTGTTTAAATGTAACAAATATAATAATTTATTATTAAATAAATTTATTATATAAAAAGTGTAATCGTGTATAAATATTTTTAATTTTTAATAAAAAATAATTTTTATTTATTATAATTATAAATAAAAAAATTATAACATAATATATTAATTTAATAATAACAGAATTAAAAATATATAAAATATATTATTAAATAAATTTATTATTTAAATATAATTTGACAGCTCTTTCTTTAAATTATATATATAGATTGGTCTGTCAAACTTATAAACAGGTAACCTTATTTATTTACTTAAACAGACTTTAAAAAAATCTAAATTTTATTTATTTATTAAAAAAGTAAAATTAAGTAAGTCTAAATCAGATCAGACTGTAAGACCTGTAAAGCGACTTAACTTGTTTCTGTTTTTACTTTTAAGTAACATCCATTTGTTATGTGAGGCAACCTAACCTGTTTCTATCACTCTACTTTAAAGTAACATCCATCAAACCTTGAAATCTTGGCTTTCAGTCTATATATTAAACAATCTTCTTCAATCTTCAACCTCCATTTTCATTTCCTTTGGGTACTCTCTAAGAGGAACGATTCCATCATTTGAAGATGAGTTCGGGTAAGCCTACTACAGGTGAAGTTCATCTTCTGCACATACTCAAAACTCAAAACATGTCTTGTTTTAATCACATATATAGCTGATTGTATTAATACGATGCTTCAATTTCCTTCAAAAGAGTATCCTCCACCTTCATCTGCACCTGCTGCTTACTCGGTACCTCCACCTGTCGGTTATCCCACAAAAGAGGCCCCACAAAACCTTCAAAATCATAAGGTGGAAACCAAGTCCAAGGGTGGTTGTAAGTTCTGCCACGGATGGTAACCAGTCATTCCTCTTTCTCACATGCAATATATTATTAATAAGTTCATCTCTTTGTATGAATAATATAATATAATCATTTACGATTTGTCATTATTTTCATGCAGTTTTACTTCGTTGTGTTGCTGTTGTGGGTTCGATGCTTGTTTCTAAAGGCTAGAGATGTCGTACATAGAATGTTTTCCCATCTCTATTGTATTTTATACTTGTTTGAATAAATTAAGGACACTTTGAATGTGTACTTGAGTACTTATTTCACTCTTATACATTACATTTTATGTAAATGTAATTATTTCCCTTTCATGTTCTATGATTTTAGTTTATATATTTTAAGAAATATGTGTACAGTGGTAAAATTTTGATAAAAAATAATTTTAAATCATTAAATATGATTGAGATATATGTCTGAATTAATTTAGCCATAAAATGCGATTCCCTGTGTGAAATTGATTTTGGGTAATAATCAAGTAGGCACTAAATGAACAAAAATTATTAGTCAGATACATTATTTTTGCAAAAGCGTTGCCTGCACAGCCTTTGTTAACGCGCTGAGAATCATACGTAGGATTGCACCGTTCGAAATACAGTCTTAGTAGAAAGGTTCTCATTTCAAAAAACTAGTAACAATCTTTTTAGAATTTTTATGCTAATATGATACTAATTTTGTTTTCATTTGCCTATTTAGAAAAGGATATTTTTTTAATTATTTATCTACGTAAAAATTCAAGATAATATTTAGGGATAAATGACATTTTAATTCCTACACAACATCTTTTTTTGTAATTTAGTTTACATAAATTAAAAAATTAACTAAATTTTTATTTTAGTTTTTAAGATAATTTAGGATTAGGGTAAGATATTTTAGTTGATAAAATATTTAAAATATTACATTAGTATTTGACTTTTATCTTCATTAAACATTTTAGTTTCTAAATTCAAATATCATTAATAGGACACTAACATAATATTGAAGTAACATGTGACATGTGTGACATCTCAACTGGCATATATAGTATCATTTCATAATATAGAGTAGTGTAGCCAAATAGTACATAGTTAAAACTTTTATCTTTTCTTTGACAAATAATTCTAATTTATTCTTCTAAATCGTAAGACCCAATTTTCAAATTGTAGCTCTGTTGGCACTGAAAAATCTCATATTACAATTTGTTGTATTTGTAAAAAAAAAAAAAAGAATCACATGAAGGATTCATTGTTATTCTTTTAACCAATTTTTTATGCATCGTTAAGGATGAAAATATGTTATCAATGTTAAGTTTATTTTGTTTGATTAGATTAATATAGTTTCCTTTCTCCTTTATTAGGATAATGTGTATTTTAGAAAATATTTTTTTGTTGCTTTGTGAGAAAAAAGTGATGGTATTAATATCAGTGGTCTCTCTATGCCTGATACTAGTTTTTGCTTTGTAAAAAGAAAAAGTGGTGGTTCCTTTTTTGTATAGTTTTACCCCTTCTCTCATGTGCCTGCATTATTTCCATCCTTATCTATTTGTTTGGGTACTTTAATATATTCTTAATTGTTGATTAAACTGATTAAAAATTATAAAAAATTTAAATATTATATTTTTAATATATTTTAATTAAAAAGTATATTATTAATATTTTATTTTAAATAAAATTTACAGTATTATAGACAATTGAAAAGATTTAATACTTTTACTTATTTATAAAATAATTTTAACAGTTAATTTTATACATATACTAACTTTATTATTAATCATTTATTTTAGTTATTTTTTAATAAATTATTAACTCTATTATTAAAATTAACTGCTACGAATGTTTTACATATAAAAAAACATGAAATATAATCTAATTCTCATAACACTGTAAATTTTTTTTATTTTATTAAAAAGAAAAATAAAGAAATATTTACTAAAAAAATTAGTTGATTCTCGTTTCGGCCACCCTTTAACTTATATACTCTTTAATATTTTTTATAATTAATTAATTTAAATAAAAAAGTATTTGAGTGTTTTAAAAAATGAAATAATGATAAAAGAATATATCGAAAAAGCATATTATGAGTGATATCTTGTAATTGAATGATTCTGGTTTGCGTATGCTTGCCGTCCTTACCTTGAGCACTTCTCATTCACATTCACATTCACATTCACGCGGTGTGCCGTCCCTTGCTTTTTCCGTTGCCTTCAAAGTAACATCCATTTGTTCTGTGAAACCTTGAAATCTTCGCTTTACGTTTATATATTAAACCATCTTCTTCAATCTTCATCGATCCTCCATTTTCATTTCCTTTGGGTACTCTCTAAGAGAAACGTTTCCATCATTTGAAGATGAGTTCGGCTCAGCCAACTACAGGTGAAGTTCCTCCTCTGCACATACCCAAAACTCAAATCATGTCTTGTTTTAATCACATATATAGCTGATTGTATTAATACGATTCAACAGAGTATCCTCCACCTTCATCTGCACCTGCTACTTACTCTGTACCTCCACCTGTCGGTTATCCCACAAAAGAGACCCCACAAAACCTTCAAAATCATAGGCTGGAAACCAAGTCCAAGGGTGATGGGTTCTGGAAGGGATGGTAACCAGTCATTCCTCTTTCTCACATGCAATATATTATTAATATGTTCATATCTTTGTATAAATAATCTAATCTAATCATTTATGATTTGGAATTATTTTCATGCAGTTGTGCTGCGTTGTGTTGCTGTTGTGTGTTGGATGCTTGTTTCTAAAGGCTAGAGATTTCGTACATAGAATGTTTTCCCATCTCTATTGTATTTTATACTTGTTTGAATAAACTAAGGACACTTTGAATGTATACTTGAGTACTTATTTCACTCTTATACATTACATGTTATGTAAATGTAATTTTTTTACTTTCATGTACTATGTTTTTAGTTTGTATATTTTAAGAAAGTGTGAAATTATGTGTACAGTGATAAAACTTTTATTTGATAAAATTAGCCGTGATTTAAATTTTTATAGAAAATAGTTTTAAATCATTAAATAAGATTGAGATATATGTCTGAATTAATTTAGCCATAAAATTTACATAAATTTTAGTCAGGTACATTATTTTTGCAAAAGTGTTGCCTGCATAAGCTTTGTTAATGCCCTGTGGATTGAGAATTGTTCGAGCCCAAATACGGCCTCTTTGAGAACTTCAGCGGTCTTCTGTCATGTCTTACTGGACCAGCTCCCCTAGTGTCTACTGTCTTCTTTCTTGTGTTAGCTTCAAAAATCCTACTCTTGCTCACCAGAATGGGCAAGTCGGTCAGTTGAAATATACTGACTGCAGCTCGGATGTCCGACCTCAATCCGTTCTCAAACTGAGAACACAAATCTTCCTCTCCATCACCATGCCAGTAGTGAGGCCAGTACTTCATCAGCTCTTGGAATTTAGCCGCATATTCTTCCACAGTCATGTTTCCTTTCTTTAGCTCAAGGAACTCTTTAGCTTTCTGCTTTTTCAGGTCCCGGGGAAAGTAATTCCCTAGGAAGATCGCCTTGAAGGTCTCCCACTGGATGTAGCCACCTTCTTGTGGTAGAGTCTGACCGGCAAACCTCCACCAGTCTTCCGCTTCACCACACAACAAGTAAGTGGCATAGGTCACCTTGTGCTCCTCACAGTACCCCATGGCGTTAAAGACCTTTTCTACATCAGCCACCCACCTTTGGGCTCCTTTGAGATTGAACCCTCCTTCAAACATCAGAGGGTCGTGCCTAGTGAAGGCAGACAATCATCAATATTTAGCCAGCTCTCCACCTTGATTGTGTACTAGACCCTCCAACATTTGAGTTATGCGCTCCATGGGATAATTAGTACTTCTAGATCCTTTACCTCTACTAGACATGCTTAAGCTAAGCTAATCACAAATCAGCAGTCACATCTCAGCATATTAGATCAACTGATACATTTATAATTCAGGTAAACAAAACAATCAACACTTAACCTTGGACGTCTCAGCCTGATACCCTAGTCCGGTTGGATGAACTGCTCTGATACCAAAATTATAACACCTTAAATTTAATTTCAAAGTAATAAATTTTCGCAAATTCTGGGTAATAAATTTTCACTTTTAAATACCACTTCAGTACGTGGTTCCATCACTCTTTCAAAATCAAGTAAAGGGTTACAAGTTCATTATCCAATAACCACTACAGGACTTATTCAAATACAACAAATTTTAAAATACTGTTCTAAGTCCTATAGCAGTTCCATCCGCCCTTCACCGAGTTTGGTGCTAATCGTCTTGATTACCTGAAAAATGAACGTAAGAGTGAGTACCCTACACTACCAAAACGCAGCAATCAATCATAGAGTCTCACCTCTGAATCATTTAGAATACATTAAAACAAGTATAATAACAGTCAATATTATCTCACAGTACATTTTAATTCCATAATTCACAGCATATCATACCAGCGTTACCCGCCTCATTTACATCATATCATACCAGCGTTACACGCCCCTTTACAGCACATTATACCAGCGTTACACGCCCTTTTACAGCACATTATACCATCGTTAGCACGCCCCTTTACACATGCAACGTTTATGCTTCACACGACACACAACTCACATTTCATTTGTATTGCACGACATATAGCCTACGTTCAGTTACATTATACGGCACTCGAGCCCAAATTTATTCATTTGCATTTTAACATTAATTCACCAATAGACGGCACATCAACACGCATAATTACCCTCCACAGGTCCAGCTAATCCATTACACATCATATTTCATCAAATACACATACTCTTATCCACACACATAATATTCACAAGTCCCGGCACATGACCCTCATCACATTCTACAATCGTCTTCCATTTCTCACACATTTTCTACCTTCCAACTCAGCCATATTGCAATATTCCATAAAGTAATAGAGAATTACACACAAAAAGAGTAGGGTAGAGTCCCTCTTACCTTGGATTGACGACCCACGCTCGGATTTGACAACGGAAGTATTTTCCACACCGATTTCGGCCTAAAACACATGGAAGAACTCCATGAGAACTAAAGGACACCAAGAAACAGAGAAAAGGGTTGAAAAATGGAAATCCTAACCATTAAAACTCACCTGCAAGCGTTTCCCAGATGGATTCGACCTTCAATCAAGCTCCCAAACGGCTTTGGAGGCAATTAATCAGTAGAATAGGACTTTGAGTCGAGAGGATTGAAGATATTTAGGAGGGAATTTGAGAAATGAATCTCAAATTCCTAAACCCCCTTTTAAAACCCCTCAGATAGCAACACTCTCGCTACAACGAGATATTCTCAGCAACGCCCTCTGTCGTCACAACAAAAATCTCAGACAAAATTGCATTCTGATTTCTGCAGGATCTCGTTACAGCGAGACTGCACCCAGAAATGCACTCCAAACTGTCGCTCTGTCACCACAGCGAGATATTCTCGCTACAGTGAGAAGGCGACAAACGCATGCCTTTAGCGAGACATCTCTCGCTACAGCGAGAATGCCCTATACCAGCACTTAGCCTATTTCCAGCCCAATCTAGTCATGCACACATAAATACACACATCCATATGCTTAATACACATAAACATCGTTATTACGCACTTGAGTGCACATTCCAATACTCATTCTCATATATATAAACATCGATCATTTATATTACCAAAATCTGGGGCATTACACCAAGTGTAAGAATGATAACTGCAAGTTAGAAATGTATTGTGTAAAAAGCAATGTGACACATACCTTCCAAATCAAGACATTTTTTAGTGAACGCACATGTGGCAGAGTTATTATAGAGAACAATTGTTGACAATTGTGGGGTAGAATGTTAATAATCATATATGGGTAATAGCCTATGCAGTTGTTGATGTTAAAAATAAGGAGAATTGACATTGATTTTTATCACTATTATATAAAGATTTGGGATATTATAAGCAATATGGATGAAATTTCATATCTAACATACAGAAGGTAGAGATCTACGTAGGATTAAGTTACTAATTAGATAAGCTTGACAGTGATTGATTTGTATGATTAATATATTTGTTAGGGACTAATTTATATTATTTTAATATTTTAAGGACTAAAATACACATTTATTGCTGGATTTGATACCAACCTTGCAAGAAGTCATGTCAAATGCATACCATAGGTTTTGTGTGTAACATTTATGACAAAATTTCTATAAGTAGTGGAAGGATAAAGTATTAAAACACCTTCTATGGAAGTGTGCAAGATCAACTACAGTCTTATAATTCAATGCAAACATGCATGTAATAAAAACAATGAATGAGAAGGTATAGACATCATTACTCCTAATAATAATAATAATAAATTATGTCTTTCAAAAATAATTAATTATAAAAGTTGAAATAATAAATAAATATAAAAATCAGTGTTAGCAAATAGAGCAATTTTTTCTTTAATTTAAATTATGTATAATTTGGGTATCTTTTTTCAAGTAATTCAAGTCTTTTTTTTAAATTATGTAATTTTAGTCCAACAATGAATTTGTTCTATTTAAAACCTTCAAATTTATTTTTATCTTTCTATGATAATATTAAACATTTGTAAGTAAAATATTTTGTGAAATTTTGATAAAATAAGAAGAATTTTATATAATGTAAGATTAAGATTTAAAAAAAATGCAAAAAGAAAATATATTTTGTAATTTTTTTAATCTCTTCAAAAATTGCTTTGCAAGCTCTGCTAGGATTTCTCCAAACCCTAGCCTCTGTCCCTTTCCCTGTTTCAGCGCAGAGGTGCCCTACGAAGATTCTTCTTCTGAGAGGTTTTCAACTTGAAATCTAGATCTATGTTTGAAGCATTACATAGCTCATCAAGAGGTGGTAAAAAGTCTAAGGAAGAGACCGATTTAATAGGAAAAAGCACCAAGAAGGTTAAGTTGGTCTCGCTAGCATTAGAGGAGGATCTGAATACAGATATGCAGCAAGAAAATAGCCAAAATGCTCTATATGATCAGGTGTCTTCGAATCCAAAATTTTCTACTACAGTCTCTTATAAAGGTAAAGTTTTATCGATTAAAGATTTAGATCTTATCCTTGAAGATAAGGATATTGTAAAATTGGTGCTAGAAGAGGTTAACATTAACCTTGATATTGATGAATAAGATCTATCAAATACTGAACAAATTCTATGCCCTAATATAAAAATCTCTCTAGAGGACTACAAACAATGGTGTTCTCTGTGAAAACACTCTCTGATTGTTAAACTTCCAGGTGAAATAGTAAGTTTCAACTACTTAAATCAAAAGTTAGGTAATCTTTGGGGGTAGAATGGGCTCTTGAAAATACTAGATCTAAACAATGAATATTTCTTAGTTAAATTTGATAATACTGAGAACTATAAATATGCTTTATTTGAGAGTCCTTGGCTAATCTTGGACCACTACCTATTAACGCTTGAGGCCTTTGTTCAGGTCGAAAGACCTTAATACTACCCTTCAATTTAGAGGTAAGTTTGCTATGATTTGTGTAGAACTTGACATTAGAAAACTTTGTCCCTTCTTTCAAAGTCCTTGGCTAAGAATTTAAAGTTGAGTATGAGGGCCTACATCTTTTTTTTTTTATTGTGGAAAGTATGGCCATAGGCAGGAATTCTGCCCTAACCCTTATAAACATGTTATTGATAACTCTGAACCCATCCCCAGCCCAATGAATCTTGAAGAAAATAAAAATGAGGATCCTATGTCTTTCAAGGAATCAAATAAGGCAGAAGTTAAAGAGAGTCAGGAGGGTACTGTAGTAGAGGAGCAAGGTTTGTTTAGGCCCTGGATGTTAATTAAGAGGCTTGTTAGGAAGAAATAGGACCCCATCACCCAATCGCTAGTCTAGCTCAAGGTGAGATGAATAAGGAAGTGCTCCCTTTTGCTCTCTATCAGTCTTCTAGTCAAGCCTTTCCCCAGCATCTTAGAGATATAGACTAGTTCTTCCCTGCGTTTTACATGAATTGCTTATTTTGGAATTATAAGGGACAGGAGGTAAAACTTTTTACAGACTTGTTAACGACCTTTATTCTGATCCTAATCCTCAGGATTTTATTCTAAACACTTAGTCTTCTTTTCCCTTCCTTAGAGATGTTGATGATAGGCTGTTCTCTCTTAGTGTTTTCATAGAGGAGGTCAAAGTTGCCCTTTTCAGTATGGGTAATTTCAAGGCCCCTGGTCCTAATGGGCTTCATGCTCGATTCTTAAAAACCAATGACATTTTTTGAGCTAGCTCATATATAGCTTTGGTCTGAATATTTTTTAAGACCTTGCAAAAGTTCGGGAGGTTAATGAAACCCGCCTCACCTTAATTCCTAAGTCTGATCACCCAGAATCCATTAAAGAATTATGACCTATATCCCTCTGTAATGTGAGTTATAAGATTATAATTAAAATTATAGCTAACAGATTAAAGGACTATCTTCCCCACTTGATCTCTGCAAATCCTAGTTTTATTCCTGGAAGGCGAAAGATTGACAATTCCCTTATTCTCTATGAAATAGTGCATTTGATAAGTCTGTATTTAAGCCCTCTTTTACAACCCATATATTCATATTTGACCTTTATTTTATTTAGATTTTACACTAATTTATATATTAATTGTACAGTTTGGTATAAAGAGACTGCAAGTAGATTTTGGGTGCATTT